ACGCGAATCTTTCTTCACATCTCGCGACAATAATCTGCATGGAATACGGGAAAAGACTGTTACTTCTACTCGCGTTTATTCTAAAAAGAAGCCACGAGTATCCAATCTTAATGCCAACGTCAAATTAACGTTGAATCTTCGAGCGCGAACACGCCAGACGGAATTATATACCGCTGTAAAAGTGTCTTAAATCATAAAACATAACGACACAAGAAACGTACACGGTCGGTGGTTTTGCAACGATTCAGCTTCTCCCGTGACACAGTAAGTTAACGTTCCTCCTACACTCTCTCTCTCTCTCTCTTTCTCTCTCCTCCTCTCTCTTTTTCCTTCTTCACGGCGTCATAACCTGTACGATTATCTGTGTATTTAACGCATCCGTTTTTAGCGGCGTCACTTCGCGAAGTATTCGAAAGCATAGAAAAATGTCGGACGCAGTAAAACGCTGGGAGCCCTGTTCGCAAGAAGCACACACGATCATACCTCGCCGTGCCGAGAGCCATTACGCTAATAAAGCTTTAATATTCTATTCCATCCTACGAATAGCTTTACGACCACGTTAACTCTCCCCTTTATTACGTTGTCTTCCATTCCCCGTACTCGCAGCGTTTTCTCCCGTCAAAATTGCGTTTTCTCTCGCTCATCCTCATCCCCGTGCCGCGACCAGCTCACGAGATTTCCCATCGAATCGGGACAAGCAGGGTACCGCGTAACACGCTTAAATTCGGACGCTTTAACGCGATGAGTTCCCGAGAAGCGATGCAGCGACACTCGAATGGCCGCCATTCCGTGGAAACACGACGCGGAATGGTCTAAAATAAGCGGACAATAAAGAACCGGATAATCTGGATATATCTGCAGTGTCCTCGATGCAAACGAGAAGCCCGGTTACTAAAAGCGGACGCGCGCATTTCACGAATACCAGCATGGGTCTGTGCACCTCGCGCGAGATTCCATGGAATAGGTCGCAGAAACTGGTGAGCTAGACCCCAGCGAGATTTACCGCTAAACCGAATACCTAAATCTCCCGTAACTTTCCTTCTCGCGCGATGATCCAGTCTCTAGTCTCGTCGCCGACGATTCCGTTCGCCGATCACGACGAGCGAGGTGCCTCGTTTTGGAATCCGTCGTGACCTCGACGTCGAACGGCCATCGCGAATGGAGAAGGAAGAATGTCGTCGGACGGAAGGATTCCTAAGGACGTGTCAGGTGAGCGAGGTAAAAGAGCAGAGAGAAGTAACAAATTGGAGCAGATCGGTGCTTGTTAAACCGCGTGGAAGTATGCCAGGATAGCCCCGCGGCCTCTGAGTAGTGACTTCTTTCAGGAATCCGTTACGATCCTCGCGGAGAAGATGGTTGATCGAAACACCTGTTACCGCTCGAGTCGCTCGGGCAACGAATATTCGAAGCGAACGGGGGAGAAAAAAAGGAGCGCAGAAGATTCCGACTACCCTCGCGGATGTTAACGCGCTCGCTAATTGGATCAGCTAAAACAGGCTCTCGTATGAAGCAGCCTCCGAACCGCGTGTCCAGTTATCCGATATCGGTTCACCGGGAGAATCCCGGCGCCTGGAGCCATTAACCCGTCCGTTCGAGTGTTCGATGACTCATCAAAGACACACGAGAGGCATCGATCCGCTGCTTTTTTTGGGCCTGACCAGGTGAAGCGCCACGGGGCTCGCGACCTCGCGAATTTTACGACGTCAGGTCTCGCGAGCGGTCTCGGTCGGTCGGTCTTGCTCCAGAACGGCATACGGTGAAAGAGGGAAAGAAAGGAAGGGAGAAAGAGGGAGAAAAAGAGCGGCGGTCTGGCAGCTGCTTGTTTTAGCTGGTTTTATTGGCGGAGCGGCGAGTGGTAGTAGTAGTAGGCAGACAGGCGAGCAGCAGTTTCGTTTGCCGGCAAAGCAGAATCGCCAAGGGTCGCGCGCATACGCACAAAGCCATATGTCATGTCGGGCCGTTTAATGGCCTTTTAATACTACCTCACGAGCGGCACGTATCCCCACCCGCAAGGTGGCTCGAGATGGTTACCTTTGAATAGGCGCCTCGGAGGTGCGTCTATAAAGGTGGGCCGACGCGGCCGCCACAGAAAGTCGTGCCGCCACCACTCGCCAACTCTCGGGATTCCTGAGTGTCTGTGTCATCGGTTCGACTTCTCGCAACCTCGTAAACTCCGGGCATTAAACGCGGCTTTCGGCGATGAAACGGAACGGGCAGGGGGTCGCAGGAATGTAGACCGATCCGGGAATAAAGTTCGACCGAGGGAATCGCCACGCTTCGATTTTTACCTCTCCCTGCACCCACTCACCTTCCGATCCCTTTCGTCTCCACGCTCGCGTGAAATGTTACCTCCTTTCGTCCTTTGCCGTGCCTTTACCGTGTCCCACGATACGACTGTTCCAACGGTCTAACATTCTTTAAAATCGAGGCAAGAGCCTGAAGATCTCGGCAACGATTCATATCAAGTACTTAGGAAAAATTCGGGAATGACGTGTTTAGTCGAGACGTGTAATTAGCGACCAGTTGGACTCAGGGACAAATTTCTACTCGCAATCAGCAATATTCTGTAACTCTTCCTTCTCAGTCCTAATTATACTCGCTATACGCTAGTCCGTCTACTGACAAAGGTACTCCAGAGAAATTTAGTCATCATCCGATCCTTAGCCACTACTACAATATTAATTACAATTATCTAAATGTTTATTCCATCGAGGGAGATGGAAGAGATATCGTAGGTTCGTACCATCTTTCATAAAATTTATTCAAATTTCGTGTCGAAGAAATAAAGCTATGGCAACTTGTCTAAAGCACCGTGACTGACAAATAGTCGAAGCTGCAGGTTCGACTTGAAAAATGCTCCTTTATATTTACGTCGAACGTAAAGTGTTACTTGTCATTTTATTGCGTACGCGTATCTAGAGGAGTTTCGTGCTGTTTTATAGATCCCCGCTTCCAGGGAGAATGTAAAAATGACAAGGAGGAACGGTGCAATCTTACGATGCAAATATACATTGGTTTGTACGAGTGTTCGGGTTCGCCACGATTTCCATTTCGTTCGCCATTCTCGAATGAAATACGCTTCGAAACACCTAGCTTTCGTACCGTTCCCAGTAAACCTACGATCGTTCGGCCTCGGATAAATATTTTTCCTTTATCTCTGACCGCTGATCCTCTCTATTTAATGCGACATTTGCATGCCAGTTATGTGGCCAGCTTTGAAGAGCTGCACACCGTGCGCTCGGTCCGCAAAAGTTGCAAGGTTCACGATGCATGTGTGGTGGTTATGATCAAGGAAAAAGGAGCATCGAGTGGCGGCCTTTGTCCTCGTTGAAGTTCCAACGAAAGGGAAATGTGCAGCGGCTGTTTTGCTTGCCACTAGCTGGTTAACTTACTCGTCAACGTACCCCGTTGGCCACTTCAAGACACTTCCGACATCCAAGAGGGGAGTGTCTTTCACTGTATAGCGTGCTTCGAGGACTCCACTGTGGGCTGTTTAATGCAAACATACGGGTTCGTTTCTCCCGGCCGACATATCCTTCCAATTAACGAAAAAGACCTTGGAACACGAGAACGCGAGCTGATCGGCCAGGTTTACATATTCATCGAGAAAAACGATGACAAAGCGTGGGTAAGAGGTATCATTGTGATCCAGAAAGTATGTTACGATACATATGGTACCTTATGAAGTTATTGAAGTCGCTTAACATTGATCATTTTTAATTGAACTTCATTGCAATGGAGAAACTGAAGACTTGGCCTGATTTAGCCTTCGAGTTTTAGTTGAGACATTCGATTACCAGAAAGTAACTTGGCGAACGCTATAATGGTTGGAAGCAACTGTCTTTTATCTATAATATGATATATTTCTTTGCACCAGTGGTGAAAATTTATTTGCGAAACCATAAGTCGCCGAAGACCTGCGTCCAACAACTATCTTTAAATCAGTTATCGTCAGACCTATTTCCCGCGTAATGAATTATTCATCGGCTGATCGATGGTTTTCTATTCAGTCTGATTATCGTACGAGTAGCCTGCAACTGCTCGTCGAAAACCGAATCGTATCGTCGATTGAAAACCAGATTCGGCCGCTACCTTACCGATCAAAGCTGCAGACGCTTCTGCATCACGTAGGAGATAGCAGCACCCTACTCGCGTTCTCGCAAGCGATTATTAAAGTCGAAGCATATTTTATCATTAACAGAGATAAGGGGAAATTAAAGAGGATAAAATGTACCTAACGCAAAACGACGGAGAGGAAATTTGTACAGCGGTCGATAATGAATTTAGCCGAGATAATCCTAATTCCGCGCACTCGTATTATTCTTCTAGATTGGAGGATATATGTAATACGATAGTCGACGAGGATCACGTAAACCGGAAAAACCAGAACGCCTGTGCGATCGTCAAATTCCTTTTACTATCATGTTTTACACCGATGCAAGGACAAAACGAAGTTTTTGCAGTTCTATTTGCAACATCGGCGAATTTAATGCGCATGATACGATTACGAGCCCACTCAAAATGCCTGGTCCTAGATTGTCAATTCAACCAAGTACTATTATTCAAACCAATTTGCATATCGTATTTGGTTAATTCCGCAGTTAATCGCACAACAACCTCATTTACGAATAGACCGATATAGCGTAAACAACATATTACATAACGGTCTGTATGGGGCAGTACCTATGGCGAATGATTTACATAAAATTTCATAGCTCCTATAACCCAACTGGAACAATTCGCATCGTATATTTGCTTTGAATATCTATTAATCGTACAAATATAGATAACACAGACGAGGCCTTAATTACGTGTAATTCAAAATCAAACCGAAGACTGAAATTCCTCAGCGAAAAAAAGCTCGCGAAAGCTCTAACTTTAAAAACTCAAAATAAAAGTAATCGTAAAATATTATAAATTATTACAAATAAAATTAAATTTTTACCTTATGAAATTAGAATTCAAACTAACGACACTTGCAACTCTTCATTTGGCTCGTCTGTTAGTAAACGGAAGAGGCGACGAATTTTTCCATATAATATACCGCATTTTTTAAACATGCTACTCATTTGTCGTAGCGCGTGTTGTATTCCTTTAACTCTGTAATCCTATTTGTCATCGGAACTAGAAGTGGTAATTACTGGGATAAAGCCATACGGTGGCGTGCAACCCCTAGTGCTATCTTCCCCGCTTCGATTCGATGACCCCTTCCTTCTTCTTATAGGCTTCGGCGAATTGTCGCATTTCACGATGAACTTCACTTCAGCCATTAATTCCTCCTTGAACGATACCTGCAACATAGTTATTACATTCAGCGTGTAACGACAATTTCGTTATACTTATGGAATTAAACGCCACAAGCTCACAGATTCGACTACCCTTACATTTTCGCGGAGGGATGTACAGCCAACTTCCCAGACTAGCTCGAATATAGTGAAAAAGAAAGAAGCCGCAACGCCTACGGTCAGTACTAGGAATACACCACCCACATTGTCGAGATCCAGTTCCTCTGCTTGGCTCTGACCACCGTCCTCCTACGTATCATTCGCATATCATTATATAAAATCTGTACATTTGCACATAAATTGTTGCTCAACTTCCTCCTTATCTCGATTTCATTGAAACTTCTATCTATACGTACTCGACAAGTTCCACCTCCGTGTTTCTGCGTCCACCATTTCTTTTTCAGTTCGGTGATCAGGCCGCTTTGCTGCAGCTTTAGCACGGCTGTATTTAGCGCATGGCGATATGGGGAATCTGAAACATTTCAATTCCCATTCCCGTTTCAGAACATTAAATTTTATAGAGTCGATTCGGCTAAGTACCAAGTACCTTCGTCTACTGTTTCTCATAACACGTAGCCGGAACTATTTGAGTATACGGAATCATAAATTTCTAGTATTCTTGAGACAGTAGACGTGACCGAAGAAGGACTTACATTTTTTCATAGCAATCCCGTAGCCCTTTGCATCGAGAAGTCCACCGATCTGCGTCACGTTACAGTATCTTTCGACGATGTACTCTATCGAGCTGGATTCCATTAGAAACGCGTACTCCTCTCTGAGCACCTTTTTTAAACCGGTGTCGTTGTCAGGAGGCAGTACGTCCGCGGAGTTCGCCATCATGTACTCGTACATCTCCTTGTACGTCGAGTAGTTGGAATCCTTAGACAGGGCATAATCCTTTCAGAAAACTGAATTAGAATAAACTACTCCAAGTCTTGTTTGCCTTATAGCTCGTTTTCGTTTCGATCGATTGTTAGCTGCTTGACAGGGCTGAGCAAACTTTGCGTTACATTCCTTCGTGTTATTTCTGGGATGATTTATGCGAATGCTTAGGGTATCAACGCGTTCAAGTATGTACATACTTGACAAAATTTGCGACATTCGTATTTACATTCGTGATTATATTAATGAGGGTTTCTACCATCTACGTGTAATGTAATATTGGCAGGGTACTAATCTAATGACATATCCTTCTACATTATTCACTTAAGCCTTGCATCCCCAGTGATTAAAACGTTTGCGATATTATTCGAATTAATTATTAACGAAAATGGGCTACCTTTTAGTATAAATAGACAAACTATAACGGGATTACAAATATTCGAATTGATAAGGCGTCGCTCGAGAAATATCTTATAAAATCGTACTTAAATACTACCCTTGCTGTCAAGTAATTCTCGAGAATTTCACGAACGACTCGTTAGCAATAGGAGTACAGAGACAGTTAACATTACAGGGGTAAATAAAGCATCCTTGTTAATACTTGTTTGATCCACTGAAACACAGACGACAATGCTAATCGAAATTTCTCTTACGTTTGCAAGAACATCGGGGGCCTGTAATCATCCTGTAAAAGTCGTCGCTACTGACAACTGGCTTGTCATTCGCTGATATCTGTGTATGACACGTAGAAGACAAAGCTTTTGGTAACACACTTACTTTGAAGAACATGAACGTGGATCCTCCAACCTTGGCACCGTACTTGATGGTACCTTTCTTCGCCAATTCCTCGACGTTGGAGAAGGGTGACACCAGCGTTTCGACTGTCAAGAACGCGGCTAAATTGGCTGTGTAGGATGACACCATGATGAGACAGAAGAACCACCAGGAAGCCGCCATCATTCTTGTCGAGAGTCCTCTATTCGATGAATTAGTTACTAATTTTATTTAATCTCGCCTTAATGTCATAGTAACCGTGTCTAATGAAGTATAAACGTAAAGACTCTACTCACATGGGAGCTATCTCGGAACCCTGCTGCATAATACTACCAATGGTGAACCAAAGGGAATTCTTGAAGGTAAACTGATTTTCGAGCTCTTCGGGTTCTTCTATACACGGGTATGGGTTGTTCCACTCTGCCGGGCATATTCTACCGATTATGAACAGCATCACCGACACGAATATGTAAGCTCCGATCAGATACCACCAGACACCGGCAGAAAATGGCGACAGGAAGGAGAACAAGCTTGGCGGCGTTTTTGTGGGCTTTCGATACAAAATACTTATTCCTGGAAATGAGTAAGAAGAAACGTGAAGCCGGTACAGCTAGTTACACAACGATGAAACGTTGTTTTACCATTCCGCGTGTTTAAATTGGAATTATTTTTCCAATCAGAGATGATTCTTTATAAGCTCTTCCTTATGTCAACGAGGGGATAGTAATATATCTGATTGTATTTTTAGTACATGTTCCATAATAAAGTCGCAAAGAAGAAAGTGGAAGACAACGTTTCATGGAAACGCGACTTAATCTCGAGCAGTCATACCTAAATTCATAAAAGGCATCGTAAAGTCTACAGCTCCTTCCCTTTCAGATGTTATAGTTAGATCCGTAATAGCCAGATCAGCCTCCTGAAACACCGGACGTCGTATCTTAACTCTGATTTTATTTCTTTCAACGACTGCGTATGCTTCGATGCAAAGGTTACTAACACCGGCGATTATTTTCCCCAGCATCCCCGTCCATTTTCTCGCCTTCTTCGAGTACGAGCCGTACACGTTGTCCGCCTGCACCTCGAACGTGTAATTGAAGCCAAGCATTTTGCTCAGTTCTTGAATAATGTCGATGCCGAAACCTTCGTAGCGGTCATTTCCGGTCATCATGTCGGCCGATTTCTTTAACATACCGTATGGGTGGTTCTGCAAGCATAAATGATAGTATTTAGAACTGATCGGAGAAGCTTTCGAAGAATTCGAACAATTCACTTTCTTTCTGCATTTTTCAAATTTAATAAAAATTGTAAATTCTACAATTTTTGGATTAAGATTGGAAAATGTTCGAGATTCGTACGATAGCGATCAGGATGATGAACGTTTTGTTCTGCAAACTCAATTCTGCGTCAGGTTTCGGTGGAAGCGACTCCACCAGCCATTCCACGGTGTTGGTACTGTTCCAGATCCCGATCTTCTTCAAACCGTCCTCCGACACCTTCACCACATCCAGCTGAAAATCGCTGCGAAAGCCAGCCGTGTCGAACTTTATCAGGCCAGTAGCACCCTCCATCTCGCTCTGAAATTAATTCGCGATAAGTCTGGATTTCGCTGAAATGCTCGTACCTGACCAAATTATCACGGGGCCCGAGGACTGTGATTAAATATTTCGTCGACGCGACCAACTTACGACACGCATAAAATTATTCAAACTGAATCCGTGTTCCCAGCTGATGGTACCGTTGCACGGCAACTTCCTCACGTCGCCTTTAATGGTGTCCTTTAAACGCCTGAAAGCTCTGGCGAAAAGTTGCACCGCGTCGTACATGAGGGCGTGTTCAACGCGTAATTGACGAGGATTGTCGAATCCCCATTCGTTCTTGTGCCGTTCCACGATGCCCGTCACGACGGGACCCTCGGGATCGATGAGTCGGACCCCGGTGAAATTCACCCCCGAAAATTGGTACGGCTCCACATCGATCGTTTGGAGATCCTGAAATAAACGCACAAGCTGAATTAGTTTAATCCATTAACGCAATTATGACTGTTCGAGTCTCGGTGATTTATCAAATAGACTCTAGATTACGAAGTTCGAAGTTGGAATTAATGTCTCGTATGAGGTCTGGCAGAGGTTTGCGAGAGGAGTCTCCGGAGTTTGCAAATATTTCCATCGATGTTCCAATTAGAGTTTCTAGAAAAAAGTGTGGTAGTTCATTGGAGCAATGTTACAGTTCATACATCAGCAGGTTTGGTCCCTTAGATTCACCTGGCTCGAAATGGGTATGGGCCTTTCTATGGGATATGTTATGCTATGGGATATCAAAGTCCACGAGCCACCTAGAAAAATCGGCGAGAAGTATTAGTAGACATTTTGAAGAAGGCTGTAAAAAAGATAATATATGTTGGAGAGTTCTAATCTTCCGTTCCATGTTGCTAGACGCTTCTAGCGTCATCTGGTATTTTTTGGCAATTCGAATAAAACCTAAAGGTGGAGGTCACTTCCTTCCAAGTAACTGTAAAGGAAGCACGTGTAGTTACTCAAAGATATAATCCTGGTAAAACATGTTTCACCCACGATAATTCACAAGAATATAAAAAATATTCTTCGTCCACTTTTGTGAACTTTGCAGATTGCACGAATTAATTGATTCTAACTAATTCTGCAATTAATTCTAGAGTACAGTAAACGATATCGTAAATGATTGAAAAATTGATTACCAGGGACGTTACTATAACTCGGTTCTTCTCCGACATGATGCCCACTTGCTGCGCTTGTTTCAGAACCTCCTCCAGTAGATCGATCGAGCAATCGATGAGTATATTCTCGATATCTGCATTCTTGATCTCCCTCATCACTTTCCTGCAAAATTTAATCACAGTTAGTTTCAGGATTATTTTCGAATTGACTCTAATTTTTCTCGAATATGCACCTGTAACTTGGTCCAGCTCCCAAATGGTACAAGAAGATCGCATGACCCTTTGCGTCCCAACGTTCCAGCAATCGATGGGTCCGAATCAAACTGTCAGTACCTTCGTACAATATCGCGAAAATCTTCCACTCGAAATCGGTTATAATTTGATCGAAAATCTGGCGGCATATCGAACGTTCTCCCGATTAAATCATCGCTTAGAACAGAACGAAATTATCGAAATGGGGTCCAAAGTTTAAAATCGATTAACTTAATTAAACTCTTTGACAGAACGGAATTTGCGAGAAAAAATTGATTGCAAATCAAATTCGTCGAAAAGAGGAAAAGAGCAATATAATATGTAAAATTTTTCAAATGAGAATTAAATCTGAAATAAAATTGAAGCATATTCCGGCCGTTGTATATATTCCTACGTGAGTTTGACATCGCTGCCATAAACCATAACACCGTTAACATCCAAAAAGTTGGAGCACGCCGCGGAAGATTTATTTCCAGCGATATTATCGTGTAAGGAAGCGAAGGAAATTTAATCATATTTCGAAAGTATGCTCAAAAATATTATAAGCTCGATCGATACCGAGTTGCCAAGCTGTGACCTTATAAGAGGCCGTATACATTTTCAGACTCAACCGAAAACGCACGGAAGTTCTTCCCGTATATTACGTACCACAGAGAGAGTTTCCGCGTGTGGGAATAAGTTTATTCCTTTACCGCGAGTTTGAGAGGGTTCCCATCTACCATAAATATGCGGCATTTCCATGGTGTCGCACATACTCTGCACATGCTCCGAGGTGAACCTATTGTTCGGCCCGAAGATGGCGGCCACCCCTGTGCCCATTAGCTCGCACACTGAACGTTTCACGGAAGATCCATCAGTTTGAAAAGCGCGATATTAAGCGAACGCGTGTGTAAAGCTTCGAAGAATGAGAGACTTTCGAATGATAAACGTACCTTTCTCCGCCACCTCGAACGGATCCGTTCCAACCCTGTTCGACTCCGCCACGAGGAACACGTTCGCGAATTCCTTGTTCTCATGGCGATCTTGATTCACCGCCTGTATAGAGATCTCGAAGGTCCGTTGAATACCCTCGTCACTGTCGAACAATCCTCCTGAAAGATTCGCGCCAAGACACGTGTGTATTTGGACGCGGCGTTCTATTAATATTTGCGGAACGCAGGCTGGAAACGGCGATGGCGGAACTCGTGGGTCCGAGTTAGTAGAAGAAACAACCATAAACTCGGGGATATTAATTTTCTGACACTAAAATTTCGAGGCATCTCCGTGTCCAACATGAGTGTTCCGGTATAAATTTACCGTGGAAATTTTGCTCACCTACGTGAACCCTCTTGGGGAATCCCAGGACGCAGGGGAGGAAGATCAGCGGAAGACACTTGACCAGCATCTTATAGTCATTCTATGCAAAGCGACGGTAACAGGAGCCATTGAACATAAATGACAAGGACAGTCTCGATTATTCGGAAGCAAATTCTGATAAATTACTCACTCGTGACGAGACGCGAAATCGAAGGAGCGGATAATTCGAGCTGGTTCGAGCAACAAGAGGTCGTGAAACGCGATAAGAATTATTCGAGAAACAAATACACGCGGTGTTGTTGTTGGCGAATGAAAGAAGAGACGCGGAGAGTGTGGGAGGGATGAACGTTCTCAGGAAAACAGCGGGGTTAATAGCAGCCGTTCGCGCAAAAGCTGACCGGCGGATCTGCGATTAACTTCAAAGACAGTCAGATCTACAGAACTGACGCGAATTTGTTTGCAATAAGATCGTGTACACGAGATTCACGGCTGGGGCAGACCGCTGGGATTCGAACGAGCACTTAACCACAGCGACGCTGTGTAAACCAGCCGGAAAGCATTTACACGCTCGAATTCTCGAGCTCGCGTAAATATTTAGAACCGTCTAAAATCAATCCTCCAATATTCAGTCTGCCTATTTATTTGAAGCTACCAAAGGAGGCTTCGGACCTGTCAGATCCGTCCTCCACGCTTTAAGATCGATTTTCTTCCTCCCCCGTGGCTTTTGCTTCCAAATGGCAGAAGATTATTGAGTATACGATACTTTTCTGCCTCGAGCTGCGGGATCGTAAAGATTCGTACGATGGAATAGGTGGAACGGTATCAACAGAAGTAGCATTTTTAGCATACGCTTTGTTCGGTTATGGTTCGACGATATGAGCTTCCCGGTGTCATCCCTATCCTCAACTATCTTTCGAGGTATAAAATCGCGAATGTGCAATTAACGCTAAAATAATTAGATTTAGACCTGCTTCTCTTGTACGAGTTACAAATTATTTCCAACGTAACACTTTGATCGTTATCGGTGGTTCTAGCATTAGAAGCTAAAACAACATGGCGACATTCAATCTTACGGGAGTCATCGAGGCAAAATCGAGTCGAAGAACACTCGGGTAAACTTACACCGAGAATAACTCACAGCGTGGATCCTTCAGAATGTACAATTAACAATAAAATAATTGGATTTAGACTTGTAGTTACAAATTATTTTCAACGTAACACTTCGATCATTATCTGTGGTTCTAGCATTGAAAGCTAAAACAATATGATGATATTTAATCTTACGGGAGTCATCGATGCAACATAGAGTCGAAGAACACTCGGGTGAACTTACACCAAGAATAACCCACAGCGTGGATCCTTCGGAATGTACAATTAACAATAAAATAATTGGATTTAGGCTCGCTTCTCTTCTACGAGTTACAAACTATTTTCAACGTAACACTTTGATCATTATCGATGCTTCTAGCATTAAAAGCTAAAACAACATGGCGACATTCAATCTTACGGGAGTCATCGAGGCAAAATCGAGTCGAAGAACACTCGGGTAAACTTACACCGAGAATAATCCACAGCGTGAATCCTTCAATGTCTCGCGAGGTACAAGAACAACTCGAAGATCTCCAACTCAAAGAATCTTGCCAAACTTAAGAGGAGCACTCGAACTGAACGAGATCTCGAGGAATCCCGAGAACCCTCGATAAAGCGTGACAATAGCAAAAACAAACACTCGGGATAACGGAGCAAACGTTACTCCTGGTTCGATTTTCGCCGACAAGTCTACGGAAATGGGGACACGCAACGTCTAGTCGGCACCGCGACGGGATAATTTTAGCGGGAATGATTTTTGCCTGGCCGACGCGACGCGTTCTCTCGTCACGCAGCGTCGCGACGCGGCGCGAACGCGAACGCGACAACGACACGCGATTGTCACCTTGCCAAACGCACGCGGTCCGTCGCGTTCTTTTTCATTCATTCATTCCGCCTCCACGTTCATTTCGCGCGTGTATCGGTGCACGCGACACCCACGCGGATCCGTCGCGACGACCGTCAACGTGCCATATTCAGGCGGCCGTAATCGCTCGGAAAACGCACGAAAATCTTCGAGTGCGCCGTTACGACGCCCGTTATATTTAGACCCAAAGCGTCGTCGTCACGACGCGTGTCGCTTAAAGCACTGTGACATACTTTCTCCCAGAGATCGCAATCGGCCACGTTTTCGGTTAATCAGAAGTCGGTCCCCTCCACTCGACGTCTTCTTTGACGGAATTTAGCCTAGTACACCTCCAAATTCATCACACTCTTTATTAAAACCGCGAAACGTTTTAACGACATTCGTATTAATCCATTTCACGAGAAGATTCTGCATTACCGTGCATTCGCGAACATTCGCGTCTCGTCTGAACTAGAATCCCATCAACGCAACGAGACGGTAATTCCACGATTATCTCGTGACACTACGTTGTCATCTTCTGATGATAATCGAAATTAGGGTGGGAAGTAAATTGAAATATCGTCGTATCGATAGTACATATGGTACATATGGCACAAACGAAAGAAGCCGACAAGGGAACGAAACTCAGAGCCACGGCGACCAAGGGTTAAACTGCGCGGAGAAAATGGCGGACGTTGCGGCGAGCGTGAAAGGATGCGGAGACTTACCTCGGAATTGCGATCACACACGGCTGGTTACCTGGAACGGAAGTTCGATAAACCTGCTTTTCCGAACGAACCTCGCGGCATGCACTCTAATTCCGACCGTCGCTTCTCGGCTGGCTTTTCACTGCGCACACGCGGCTTCTCCCTTCCAAGCCACTTGGATTCGTTTGTACACCGTAACATGGCGGGCATCTGGCTCGATCTTAACTTATTGTTAGACGCGACGCTGCCACTTTGTCCAACGGCTCGTCGTTTATGCCGAGCAGCCATTTTTACGCGCGGTAAAATTTCGTTGCTCGTTCATCGCGACTTTACCCCGGGAAAAATGGAGATTTAAACCGGTGCTTTTCCGTGCCGCGAAGCGTAAGTAGATTTCCATGCCAAGTTTATGTTGCGTTCCGTCGCGAGATGAAAATAAGCGTTCGGCTCTTCATCTCGAGCCCCTTTCTCGGAATTGGAGATTTACTTCGAATCGAAGTACGCGAAGGATGATTCGATTTATTTTTCCCAATTTTTGGTAACAATTCCCGAAGCTTTTTCTACGCCGCGTTGCGCAAAATGAAGGATTCGCGGTTGATAGAGAAACGGGGATCGTTCAGTTGCAGCGAATTTTTATATTATAAAAATATACACGCGTCTCCCTTATGGTTTCACGTTAATACGTACATCGAGTAACAATTTCGAGAAATTTTTCCAACACCTGGAAATTACCTTCGCGCAACGTTCGAATCGCATTAGCGATGCGTCTGCGACATGGGCGAGTCAACGAAGTGGAAAAGTTATGGGAATTTGCAGGACGACAATGCAGTGAACGGTGTACCGCGAAATGTAGTTAAATCCAGCATAAAAATGGCGATACGTGACGCGCGGACACGACGTAAAAGCCGGAGCAAGCGGCTGTTATTTTTGATAGCTCGTTCGGCTCCTTCCGGAAAAGTGTCTTTTTAGACACGCCGCGGAGTTTACAGCGGCCCATTTTAACCCCGAAGAACGATTCCAAGTCCCTTTGATATCCGTATTATGGATGGTGATTCCAAGACGTGCATCGACACCTTTCACCCACGCAGATCTGGAGCCTCTCTTACAACTAGACTCACAGTTTTTATCTTACGAATCATTGGGAAATGAAGAAGATTCTGGACGTAAAGATTCCCACTTTTCTATACGATTCTCAGTTACCATGAAAGATTTATATAGAGAAATCCGCAGCATCGACCGTTTCCTAATTCCTCAGAATCCAACCCTTTACTCTGGACACGAGGTATCGCGAATCTATCAAACGACCAATTCGAAACAATTACCAGAATTTGCCAGAGATACATTGTTCAGATAAAATTTCGAATATCGTCCAACCCTATGTACCTTCCTTCCCCGATTCAATTTTGGCAGTAATTAATCTATCGTCCGAGTGTGTATACCACGAAACGTTGAAAAAATAAATATTCGAACGAAGCTATGGAGTAAGCTCGAACTGGAACGAACAAAAGATGGCGATGCTATAATATGTACGTAGAGGGAAACAGGATAAGGAGATACAAGGTGCGGGAAAAGGGGAAAAGAGGGTTAAGTAAATGAAATAGTTAGGATAGCGAGGGGGGCATGGGGATGGTAAGAGCCGTGGAAGTTGGATACATTAGTGAATTAGTTAGGTTAGCGGTTTGGGATTTAGTTCTCTAATCAAGAGAACGAAGAGCGAAGGCTGCGGCAATTGATGTAAAAGTAGAACTTCCCGGGGACCAATTACGTGGCCGTGGATAAGGCAGAACTTCTCTGTCGTAATCAACGAGGGGATTATGGCGCGGGTTAAGTATATTACGCGTGGAATAATTTTCCGACCGAAGCGGGGGTAGCTGACACCTGCAAATCGATCACGGGGTACACAAAGCGTACGTTTGAGGGGACCAGCGATGGAAAAAATTCTCGAATATCCGTCGAGCCAACTTCCACGAGCCAACTAAGGGTTCGACGATGGAATAATCCCCGCTGCCGCGAAATTTTTTAATTTACCGGATTATCTGTTTTAATTAATCTTCGCGGGTCGACTTTGAATTTTTTACCGCTTTAAAATTCGAAACGCTTCCAATTTTCCCGCACGTCGGTGTGCCACGAAATCGCATGAAAATTAAATCAACGAAACGAAATTAAATTTTTATCCAATCTTCATCTTCGTTTATTTATTTATTCCCTTTTTCTCCTCGACGTGGAGATTTGTTCCTCCTTATTTCTCTTACTCGTTGGCTATGTATCTGCACGGGCAAGTAAGGATTTTAACGAGAGAATTGTTGGATAGCTCTCCCATAAATAACACTGAGCATCGTGTTCGTTTCCATACGTTCAGATTTATTATTTATAGCGAATTTCAATTGACGTTAAATCATGCGATTCGTCTTCTTCTCGTTAAACCATCATCCGTCGCTTCATGTAATAAAACGAAACACGTCTGCTGAGAATTTACAGACGATGAGTTTATTCACGTTTAATATGATGCTCGTAGTACACTTTATGTAAGAAGTATAATCAATAGGCTCTTAACAAACTCGTTACGACGTGAACGCAGTGTACGCGATACAGACAATATTTACAAATACGTGTATTATACGCGATATACGCGCGAATGTGTCGTTCATGCGGGTCACTCTCGCATTTTGTACGTTCGAAAAACGATTCGATTCGGTGTACACGTTCGCCGACCGGTAAACCGAGCTAACGAAACGGGAAAGGGTCGAAGGAAGAAACGAAAAATCGTCGGTGTCGCGTGTACACGGTGTGTCGTTAAAATTCGTGCACGACGGTCGCGCGGAAAACGTTATCGAGCGTTCGAACCTCTGTCGCTGGTCTCGCTCCACCGATCTATCCGCGTCCGGAAATTGATCATTCGAGAGATGCTGGCCGGGCATCTGTGCACGTACGATATTCTCGCGTGTTTACGCCTTGGGAGAGACGGAAGACGGAAATTAATACTGCTCAGTCCGTGGCGTTCATGAACGGCGATGTACCAGCTGCAAACAGGCTTTCCATTAACTCCGTTAACCAGCTTAATCCCTCGAACCGGTGGACGCTTAAGAAACGAGCGTTGCAACGTCGTGTCCACCGCGAAGTGAGCGAAATCTGTCTCGAGTTGCCGCAGATTTAATCGAATTTTCCCTCGGGGTTACATTCTTTCCTCTCGCCTTTCTCTCTCGAAAATAATTGCAACTCGTGCCCTAGTCCCGAATCGATACGAAGACTCGAGTAGATGTAACAATTTTCCGATCCCTGTTACGAATTTTCATCTCGCTAATTTTATCTATGCTCGTCGAGATGCTTCACTCTGCAACGTCTCCTTCGAGGGATCAACGGAGAACGCAATGGAGTGGATGGAGAACCGGAAGTGAGGCTCCGATAGATCGGCGGAACGCCGCGATACGCGATAACGAAGTGGAGAAATTCGAACGTCGAAAGAACGAGTAACGAGGTAAAACGAAAGCGTAAAATCGCTTATCCTATCTACATTCGACGAAACATCTACGACGCTCGCACGCATGGGACGCGTTATCTTACAGCATCGGGAAGATACATGAACGAGGACATACCATTGCGAATCGTATGAACAGAGTTTGCCATGTATGATACAGTGCCATTAGACACGGTTTAGTTCGTAATCTTAACGATGAGTATGATTATTTACACTAAACGGATGTATCCGAACGCCATCGAACAGACAGAGACCATTTGTACAGTGTTAATTATCTCCTTCCTCTCACGATGATGATCACGATGTACTTTCTTTAAAAACGAACGACACAGTCGACGATGAAGTTCTTATCCGCTGTTCATGGAACGTTCCGTGTCTCTCGATTCCACGATCGTTTACAGGATCCACACGTTCGTCGGAAAGTCCACAACACGCGTTCGCCATGTATCGTGCGGAAGATATCGTCGCACGGTTGATCACCAGCGAACAAATGGCACTGATACACGTAAATCGCTTGCCATCGAATCGCTCAGAAGAAACATTTCGAAACGCGTAAAATATCTGCAACGTAAATATCCAAATATTTCGAAATAAATCCGGCGAGTGAAATTGCTCGGAAGGTAACGAGGGAGACAGAGATTTCGGACGAAATATCGTTACCTGGACCAAGGCAATTCCGGCGAATATCAAAACGGGGGGGTAAAAATATATCGAACGTTAGTTTATCGGTACACGACAATGGAAAGTGATTATCAAGAATACCTACGAGCCATGTTCCGCATCCCCTATTCGTACCCGGTATTAATCTATTCAAATTTAACGCATTCGAATCTCCGGAGCAGTTTAACGAAATTAATGGAACATGGAAATATCGTTACAGGGGTATCTCACTTCGCCGTGAGTTAAGACTCCAACAATGAACGGCAAATACAATGATTAATTCCGCGTTAAAATCGTCGCGTTGCTTACACCTGTATACACCTGCATCGCCTGAAACCCAATTACCCCTGGCTGCGGAACGAAACGCTTCCTAATTCACTCTCTCTTTTTTCCCCAGTCTCGCTATCGTCGCGACGCTAGCCGTCACGGGAACAGTCGTGGTTCGACTTCGGGCCTGTTTCACCAGCGACACCCTCTCTTTTGCCACGCGAGTCGCGCAACGAAAGACAAAGGATCTCGAGGCTGCTCGTTAATCTTTCCGCTCAAACAGCGCGCGCCGTTGTCTCCGGCACGGTACGATAAATTCCAGCGAGCTCCAATTAACGACCGAACGACTGTACACTTTACAAAGTGCAAGTCGAAGGACTGCCATGTTCGTTCGTTCGCGTCACTCGTACAGACGAAGAACGGAAATGGGAAGACGGAGGACGAGGGTGGAAACGAAATATGTCGGACCGATACGCAGACACACGCACGCACGCACGCATGCACGCACGCACACGGATAAATCGATCGGAGAAGGTGGATGGTTGCCATCTCGCGCCGCAACTCCTCGACTCTTCACGGCTCGCTGCTTCCCTTGTCGCACCCTCGATCATCGATCGGCCCTCGTGGTTCACCGGGTCGCGAGTTCGATCATCTCCGTGGACGCTGCCCTTGCCTCGTAACTTCAGGTCAAAGGCGCCTTACCCACGAAGTGTCTGTACTTGTTGCACTCCGGATACGTGCCTTCCCCGGACACGATCGACAGGTTCGACTGCTGCCTCTCGCGTCGGCACAGCGTCTTCTTCGTCGGCTTTTTCGTCCCGTTCCCGCAGTCCAGAGCGTAACGCAGCTCGCTCGCCATCTCGGAGCACACGGACTTCTGGAAAGTTCCAGCAAACCACTGCTGCATCCTCATAATCGTCCACCCGTCCATGACGCGAGAAGCTTCGTCAGCCAAATGCGATGACGCGCGCTCGTCGAATTTAGCTACATCCTCATACTCGCGAGGTCAGACCGTGTACTTTCTTTTTAGTCACAGAGACGCCAAGTTTCGTAGCTTTTCCACGGCTTTCGGTGACACGCGCTGCCCAGAAGCGACTTTGACCGCGAGAGCAGATAAAATTTGCGGATAAGCTTGCTTTTAAATTCTCTCATCTTTATTTTCGTGGGAATTTCGGTTTTTCTTGGTCTCTCTTGCGCGGTATAATTGCGACGACGAGTAGAGGAAAAAATCTGTGCCTTTGAAAAATATAGTAATCGCAGAACGAGGGTGCTTCGTAGCCTTGGATTTCTACGATTATTCGAGGTTCCTGTCACGTGGCCGGTCGTTAAAGTCGAAATATTTTTGATGGGCATTCTGACACGAATTTTTTAACGCGCGGTACGTGTCGCGGCATTGAGAGCAGGTATAAAAAAGGATCCTTTCAGCAACTTTGGCGTGGTTTTCACTGAATCAACTCGCGACGAGAATGTACACTCTGTTAGCTGTCATTCGACTCGCAATTGTTTTTCAAGTTATCACTCAAACCAAGTGACGATTGCTTCTACATTGCAAAAAATAAATCGAAAAGGTATAAACCTTGTGAAGAATATTGAAACACCTCTGTGAAATTGAAGGCACAGAGTTCTTCCCTACTGATAACGCAATTTTCAACAAAATTGGCTTCTTCGTTCATTTCAGAGGATAAAATATTAAATATAAATTAAAATAAAATACTTCGATGTTACGATAACGATATCAAACGAGATTGAGATGCGAAATATCGAAACTAAGAGAAGAGATAACAAATTTGAAGGTTCTGTAGTAGAAAGGGAACTCGTGGGTCAGACACTCCGACGAAGACGAGCGTATCGTTCATTTCTGGGCTTATGCCACGCGTCATGGCACGAAGCTGACTTTCTCGAGATGAACAGTTCTGTTAAACACGTGCATGCAACATCGACAATTAATATCGTCTCATAGAAGCTGCGAACAAATGAAAAAAAGAGTATAAAGTACCAAGCAAACGCAGCCGTGTCTCTCGTATTCGTGCGATCTTCGACAAACAATATACAAAAATTTGCAGACTTTATTTTAACAGACATTAGTACGGAAACGAAACCCAAGCTGGAAACAGGCAAAATGAAGTTTCAACGGGAAATTCAATTCGCAAAGGAGGAAAACATAAGTCATATCGCGTTACGTGAATTATGCTTCTTTCTCATTTCATCATTTATTTCGTTCAACGGCAAGAAAATAACAGCGATGGAAATGGAAATATTGATCTTTCCGCTGTGCTTCCTTCCGGTTTTATCGTCTGTCCGTTACATTTCTTTCGATCCCGACAACATCTGAAGCTTCGATAAACCGACGGACGAGAGCGGACCATAAAAGAGCTTTGAAATTTCTCCACTTTTCAAAGGGCCCGTTTAATAATTCCATTTCCACCATTGCGGTATACCGAACGTGAAAAAAGAGGTCGTTGGTCCGGAAATAAATATCTCATGCTCTACGATCTGTCGATCAACGACCAGTGCTGTGACACAACGAGTAGCAGAGACATAGTAGAAAAGTTGCTCACCTCCTGCGTATCCATGGCGGGAGAGAAAGAGAGGCAAGAAACATTGCGACACAACTAACAATGTCATACTAAACTGTCACACATCGTGCGCGTATCCTCTCGAACCGTACATGTGATTCGTTCTTTAACACCTACGTTTCGAGGTTGCGACCACGCGGTTCTCTTTTTCTCGTATTATTTTTTTTTTTTTCCGATTTTCTGTTTTCTTTTTTTCCCTCGTTTCGTATCATACAAGTTTATACGACTCGAAACATATAGAATCGTCTATCGCATAACGGAGTTTCTTCTTAATAACGAGGAGTCCGTACGGTTCTTTAAGTACGAGCAGAAATTTCCTTGCATCACGTTCGACGTTCCAAGTTCGTTTCCCGGCTATTCTCCGCCGCCATATACCATTCTTAAGGAAGCATACAGACTCCGCGTAGAGCAGCGATTCACTCCTCGAGCTACACAATATGTACATACAATAAAACGTTTGCAACCTGACGCTATACATTAATTATCTATTCGGTATAAAATCGTGATTGTTCGTGTAAATAGTTCGTTTACTCTGCAGCACGTGATTCAGTCGCGATCGCGGCGAGTCCGTTAGAAAAAGAAAGGAGAAAAAAAAGGGAAAAAAAAGAAAAAAATATCGAAAGAACGAAGCCACGCCGCGTATATAAATTTTTACGATTATTATTATTTTTTTTTTGTTTGTTTTAATGATTTTTCTCGACATATTGCCTTTTATAATTAACAATCGCGCGAGATACCGTCCCTTCTCGCTGCGAGGCTTCAAGTAGGTCGTCGATTAGTCTAAAAAGGTTTGATATGAGCAAATGGCAAACGCGTTGACCTTTCCAATTTCAATATCTGCACCATTTCGCAGGCCCGTCGTTAGGGGAGGTTGCGGACAGGAAAGAAAACGATCTTTTTAAATCAAACGTTCCCTCAGGACTGCTCTCCCTTCTTCTTCCTTTCCTTTCTTTCTCTCTGTCCCTTCTCTCTCCCTCTTTTTTCCTTCCCTCCTTCCTTCCAGCCACCCTTCTCTCTTTCTCTCTGTTTAATGAAATTCCAACGACACCGTACGTTACCGGGTAATAATTGATTGGCTAGTGTTCCGTCGATAACGTTCCGGCTAGATTGTCGGTCGAGATTACGGTTCTCGAAGGGGTTAGAGAAAAAAACTGGAAAGGTCGAGGATCGTTGCTCCTTCTTTTGATTATACGTTTCGTTTGAACTTTCTACAGTTTGTGTCTGTCAGTGTTTCACACAGTTCTCAGATCACTGGTGGCGGAGTTCCTCCTTAGGTCCGTCGGGTCAGATACGCTTTTTCTCGGGCATAGGAATCTGTTTTGCGTCCGTTCTCTCTTTTATCGTTTCGTTCGTCCCCTCGTTTTACATTTTTTACTTTAATATTTTTTAATTTTTGGCTTTTCTTTTCGTTCTCGTTTCGTTCGCGAACGGGATCCGTACGGGATCGGTCCGCTAGTGTAGATCGGTAAAAGCTTCGCAGATCGGTTTCGCCGAGAATTTCTGCTTCTAAAACAGAACACGAAAATGCTCGGGTAAGATTGCGTTAGGTGGTATCAGATCGATTAATCGGATCGACGCGGGACACGCGAAGCGTTTTTGTTGCCCGTGAGAAATATGTACTCGAACGGAAGCGACGACAGTCCGCCGCCGGTCGGACACTCGGAAACGAATGAACGGTTCGTCTGTAAATAAATATCTAAACGTGACAGATGAAATCTGGACAACGCGATATTTTTAAAATCGGTTATTGGCAATAAGATTACCGCGCGAATATTCGTGGAATATTTTCCTAGAATAAAATAAAGCAATTTCGTCCAGCGAAATATAACAGATTACAAAATCGGAACGAATCGATAATTTTAACGCGTTGCTTTCCAGTAAATAAATATAAAACAGGTTTTGCCAATCAATTTGACTTACAAAAATAAATTAAATTAAATAATTGAATAATATTTTTATTAAAATAAAAATCCGAAGAATTTCACGATTTTCGACACTCCGATTTCGAATAAATAAATAATGGATTGGCTTTAGTAATAAATAATATCGGAAACTCGGTTTCTTTCGCGAGGAATCATCCCTAAGTAAGCACCCTACGCAACCAACTCCAAGGACCTTCACGACTCACGCTAATTTCAAAGTTTCACGAGAACGAGAAAGAGATCGACACTCCTGCTATGGTTGATGGATCGGCCAATTTGCGATATCGCGATCTTCGGACCGCATCCGCGCGCACGTTAAGCGATTAGCAGCCTCGGATTCGCGCGAGTATCGCGGCTACCCTGTTGCGGTCTGAAGTAGCGCGGACCGAAGGAGAACAGCGATACCAGACGTTTGTTGGCTGACGGAATTGTTTGCTCTCGGGTACGCGAGGTCACCGGCGCAAAGCTGCATATCCGTATTTGTGGACGAGCCCTTCTCAAATACTTGCCTGTTTGCCTACCGCTTGAACGTACGCAAACGGCAGCTCGAATACATATTGTAGACACGCGAGCTCCGTACGAGCTTTCCGCTCGAGTTTCTCCGAGCCGCGCCTTAATTTCATTGCTGAGCCCCGTGGAATTTTCGTTCGCCACTGAAATTCATTCCGTTTCGCCGACGTCCTGCCCGTGGATCGCGCCTAATCGATCGGGGGCCGTTTCCGGCGCGATCCGAGGGAGAGGAATTACGAGACGCGGTGCAAAGATAGCTCATCGCTGAAAACCGTGGTATTTTTGTCCGTGAATGAAACTCGTCCCTTTTCACGTGGCTGTTTTATTTCGAGATCGCGGGTAATCGATTGGTGCCATTTTTGGTATTATTCGAGAGGGAAATTACGAGACGGGGGGAGTAGGAAGATAGCGCATTTGCACGACCGAGCGTTGAAATTTCTCGAAAAATTTCCCTACACCCGAGTCTCCCTTTGTGCTCTCCCTCGATATTTATCCAATTTTTATTCGCTCGCTTTCGTAAATCAATTTGCCTCGCCTCGCGCGATCCGATGTGACTAACAAGTTTTTCGAATATATCCTACACCGCACACGGCTCCGCGTACATCGGCATTTTCATTCCATGTACATAATTCATTTAACCCGTAACCGCGTGGATTGGCCATAGAATATCTCGTTGACCGGTCGTTCTAATCGAAATCTCCATACCTATTTATCACCGCGAAATTGTATTTTCATTTCGCGACAATAAAATTCACTCAACGCTATCTCCATTTCTACGCTCTCGTTTCCATACCATAGTAACGATCGTAACTGAAATATCACCGATCCAAGCCTCGACGCTCGAAGCGGACCCGGGTCGATGGAGCAATCGGGAGTACGCGCGATTCGCGAGAACCAGCGAATACCCAGAGTGCCGAATTAGCATGGTACCCAGGATCCATCGGGGTCCGTGAGTAATTACTGTCCCAAGAACAAAGACACTTCACGCCCCGATGTCTTTTCGCTTATCTCGCGGTCTACATGCCAGCCGGGCCGACAGACGAGGGAAAGATGGGAGACGAGCGAGAACGGGAACGCGAATTAACGCAGGCGATATCAATCATCCGTATCTCTGGCCGCAGCCGCAAACAATTACAACGGCGAACCGTCCCATGAACAAAAGACGCTTCGCGACCCGGCATCCTTTGCTTCTTCATCTACGTCCGTCGTGATTCCATCGATCGCAGCGAGAAGACGATCAGACCCGAGTGGTTTTGTGGGTGCACCGTGACCATTAAAGAGGAACTCCACCATCGTGCGAACATCAACTGATGTATTCGCGCGGTATGTCGGGATAGATCGCGTCGGGATCGAGGTGCGTGTTAGACGACGTTACTTCAGGCGCGATCACGCCCTCATCGACGTGCTATCTGACCTCACTCACCCGTTCCTCGATGGCCACCTTCCGGCTTTTCCAGACGAACTCGCATACCGCGATCACGCAAGCGATGCCCATCCCGCCCATCAGGACCACGAACACCCCGCCGACGTTCGCCAGGCCGAGCTCGTTCGCCGTCGAGCTGCTCTTCGAGGTGTCGTCCTGTTGACACAAGAGAAACATTCCTTTTTACTTCCTCCTGGAGCAACGCCATTTTCTTCCTCCAATTTCGTGCAAGTTTTCCATCGGGATCGGATAAAATTTAGTCCGCGCTTTCACCGTCTGGGGTAAGTTACTTTGGAAGACGAGCATTCGAGACGAGATAAATCTTTCTCCCGATTGTCGTATTTTCTTTATTATTTTACGTCAAAGGTTGCCCGGGGTGCAGAGCATCGCGAGTACTCGCGGAGAAAATTCGTCGCCGCTTTATCAAGCGTAGAAACGGTATTCCAGACAACGCTGGTCTTTCTTTCAAACAAAGTACGCGATTTCGCGTTTCGGATACGCGCGCAAGAGTCTCGGAGGAAACGATTTTTCCTAGATCCCGACCTCCACCGCACAACAGGTACTCCGTAAAGCCATGCCGGTCACGGTCAACGAATTCCAGAGACGAGCAGTCGCTGGAATTCATTCTGGCGGAATAATACCGGCGGATAAGAGCAGCATAATAGCGCTGGCCGTGATTTCGCGAATTTATGAAACTGTCTTCCCGCGGTAGCAACCGTCTACCTCTTCCTCGGCCATCGTGTACCTCGCGAGGCTGCAACAAGATTCCGAATGAAACGGTACTCGGTGGAAATCGGGATTTATTACACTACACTGTGTCTGCAGTTACGTTACACAGACTGGACGAATGAAAAATTCAATTTTTAGTAAAGGACGAATCGCGATTTGGTCTACCGCGTGTCACGGATCCTGGACAGTAAAGGAATTGTAGAGTTTGCTCACCCTGCAAGATCCACCGCCGCGTTTCTCCTTCCACCAGCGCGTCTTCAGCACGTGCAGCTTCCCTTCCTCCTGCAGCTTCAGGATGGCACCGCTTATGGCAGTTCTGTACGGCGAATCTGAAGTTCCAAGGACCGTCTGAGCAGCACCCTTCTGTCATCCAGCTGATATCGCGCGGGTGAAACTTTTCGACGTCGGGGCTATCGTCTTTGGTACACGCGCGTATCCCCGCGAGATCACTCGACCTCGCCGATTTCGAACGCTCCGAGACGGGGATGGAAACGTCGAAACATTCGCGAATTTCGAGGATATTTGTCCGGAGACACTCGGATCTCTGGTCGAAAGTTCGAGGAACTTGCGCAGCCAAGTCACAAGGTTGCCTCGAAACTTGCTTCTTTCATTGGACGGTGAAATTTCGAATCCCTATCCGGTAGGGTAACACGGATCTAGCCAGTTACGCGTGCCCCCGAACGAATAACGAATTCGCGAAGAAACGGGTCACTAGTTACCCCATCGCGATTAAGAAGTTAAGCTCGAGCGGCCACGAGCAGCCTCCTTTCCGAGACTTCGAGATCGTTATAGCCGTCTCTCAAGATCCATCGCGAGACCATTAACGCGGCGATTAATCAACCGCTTTTTCCGCGTAGGCCGGATATATTCGGCCATAAATTGGCGAAGTGTTCTACAAACGAACGCTGACCGATGTCCTCCTAATTCCGCCATAAATCCGCGGGTCGAGCGTGAAAAATTATCTTTCCGATTCGACGGCGTTCACAGTCGGACTATAAATCAAAGATACACCCATCGATCGGCCGAAATTGCTCGCGTGTCTGTATCTCGCCGAGGGAACCGTTCGCTTAATCGGCTGACACTCTGTCCAGAGTGTCTGCCAGGTCGCTAAACGCTACACGGTCGCACTTACTTGGCGGCATAGCTATGCCGTATCCCTTCGAGTCCAACAGGCCGCCGACTTGAGTAAGATCGCAGTTTCTCTCGATTACGTATTCGATGGAGGTGGATTCCATTAGGAACGCGTAGCTGCCTTTACCCTTGATCACCCGTTCCACGCCCTCGACGTTCTTCGTTGTAAATACCGACGGCCTTGCCGAATCCATGAACGTCCACATGCGCTGATACGTCGAGAAACTGGAAGCCTAGATCACGCCAGGAATCTCATGGTCGAGCACGCGTGCCATTAAACGATGGAACGTCGGTCGAAATTGGTTGATCTTCGAGGAGGCCTATTACGACCTTGGATCCTCTGCAAATCAGCAGGATTTCCATCGCGACGATCGATACGTCACGACGCCATTTTCCTCGTTCGTTCTCATTCGAAGATCGACCATTTTTCGTCCGGCATTCGCGAAACGAAAGGGGGCCCGGACCCCCGTCTGCTGTCGCAATTTGTCGTTTTTATACGTTCCTCGACGGATATTTCCAAAGTATCGTATATTCGACACGACGCGAAAAATAGGTATTTACGATTGAAAAGGGAAAAATATTTGTCGATATTTCTGTAAATATTGGTTATGTTCTCTCGAGTTTTTCGTGTTAATTGGGATAGGGTAACATATGTCGACCGGTCCTATGACAGAGTCGTTAAGGGTATCGCGTGTAGCGGAATTTTTATCAAAATAGTTGGAAGATAAACGACTGCTGCAAAAAAAAATATTTGCAAACGTAACACGAGGACGTGTAACGCAATACTAGGAAAGTTTATAATTTGAACAAAAACACTGCACGTTTCAACGGTCCGAAATTAAAACTTTCTCTGCGCGAACTACCCGACTTTCCATGGTGATTCTACTCTTTCTACCCTTTCCGTTAATTGTTAATATTTCCGCGAGTGTAATACCTCTTGAAACGCACGATTTAATTGACACCCTCTATAACCAACCGTGCTGTTCCTGGTCTACCAAAAGTGACCGATTATCCGGCCACGGACGCGAAAGGATATTCAAGAGGTAGGAGTTTGGAGCGTATCATATTCTTCAAGTTGGAACGAGTTAATAAAAAGTTAAGGGAAGAAATTTGTAGAAACGTGGGTGCTGCTGCTGTTCTTTTTCCTCCCGCGGCGTAATCTGTTGTAATAAAGTTTCATAATACCGAAATTAAACGGGAATTAGCGTTAAGTAATGGCCGCGGTGTTTTCTCCAACAACACTCGCTCTCTCCCGCTTTTCTTCCCCTTTCTCCCGGAACTGCTCTTCCCACACTCTACCTATAGATCGTTCACCTCAGGTGCACGTTTGACGTGCAATTTTCTCATCGGCTCGCGTCGTTTCGAAACGAGTTTATTTAAAAATAAATAAATAAATCAATGTTTCGATGCGAACGGCGTACGAAAGCGAAGTGGAAACAATCACGCGAATATAAGTATGCTTGATCACGGGCTATTCGTGGGATGTTACCTTGAAAAAGGCCGCGGTGCTGCCTCCTTCGAGAGCCCCGTATTTGATCTTCGTCTGCTTGGCGAGATCCTCGGCGCTCTCGATCGGCGAATCCATCCGTTCGACGGTGAGGAACGCGGCCAAGTTGGCAGTGTAGGAAGAAATCATGATCAAAGTGAAGAACCACCACATGCCAGCCACTATGCGCGTTGACACGGCCCTGGGAAGAAGAACAGAGGCGGTGCAATCGGGTATTTCCGGGACGCGAGCGGATCGGAAACGCGTTCCACCGATATGAATTCGAAACAACCGCGCTTCGTATATTTGCTCAGAGATCGAATCTCGATTACTTCAAACGTGTGCAGCGAAGTTTGAAGCATCGCTTGGAAGATGCCGATCGGAAAGTGGAAACACGCTGCTCTCAGCGTACACGCTCGCGTGCTTTCGAAAACGACATTTTACTTTCTACTTTCGCAGTCGCGTTTCTCGATACGTCTGGCGAGTTATCGAGATGGCGCTTAACGCGCTTGGTACTTGGACGAGTATCTAAATCTTCTAAGTGCAGAAGAAAAATAAACGAGTAAAGAAATAAACAAACACACCAAGCTTCTACATACGTGACACGGTTGCATGCAGCTTACACAATTCTTGGTTCAACGTACTACGCATAACAACAATTAAATGCCAATCCGAATAAAAAAGAGACTACGATAATTCTTCGAGGATGGGGGCCGTATCGCAGGATGTATCGGAAAACGAAAGATGATTCCTCGTCTAACGAACGGTGACAATGTTGGACGTTCGATGCGAGCGAATTGTTGCTGCTTCCCGAACCGATCCCTCATCCCCGTCCATCCATCTACTCGCACCCGATTTCGCGCTCTCGGGGCCCCGATCGCGAGGATTGCGGCAAGAATCACCGATTCGGGGGTTTCGAATCGCTTATCGGACACTCCGCGTCGTTCCCGGTTACACCGCGGTATCAGCTTCTAGCGAAGACTCGGGGGAGCAACAACAACTTCCACCGAACGAACCGCGTCTTGGTCGTCGTCGTCGTCGTCTTGGTCGTCGGTGCTCGTCGTCGCAGCGACGAGACAGTGCGGTAGCGTTAGCGATAGCAAAGCACGTCGGCAAGTTTCGACACGCGAACGTGATCGGTTGCAGCAAGCCTACGATATAGCATATCCAGGCTATCGTTACGTAACACTGGGTAGCGCACCTACGGCCCCGGATCTCGTCCTCCCAACCCGGACCTACCCCTCTCAACTTCCATCACCTTGTATACCCAGGTGAACGGACCGCGACTGGTTAACTAGTCGAACGCTCGAGAGTTGCTATTTATCTCTGCCCCTCTCGCTCTCTCTCTATCTCTCTAGCCATCTATCCTACGCGTTACCCTCTCTTTCTGTATCTCCAGTTTAGCCCCGAGATCCCAGTGTGCGAGGAATTTAACGACGAATCGAACGGAATGATCGCGACCGCGTACACACCGACACGTACAGAGAGATACGTGTCATTTCGGTTGCTTCGCTGGCTGTGTTCTCTTCGTTTCACTTACTTCGGCGCTATATCAGAGCCTTGCTGCATGAGCGAGCCTATGGTGAACCAGAGCGAGTTCATCAGGGTGAACTCGTTCTCGAGGACCTCGGACTGTCCGTTGCACGGATGGGGATTCTCCCACTCGTAGGGGCTGAACCTGCAGACACGTGAAAGGAGAAGGGAGAGGATTAGAGCTCGCTGAGTCGCAGCACGCGCGCGATATCTCCGCCCGATCGATGCGGTGACGCGCGAGCCCCGAATTCCTCGCGTCCGATCGCACTTCCGGCACCGGTTCCTCCGCTCCACCCTCGGTCATCGCCCGGCCAACTTTCCCGCTTGAAACGGTTCCCCTGTTTTTCAGAATTACAAGCGAACGTTTCCTGCATCGGAGCTGCCCGGCTTTCCGGGGGATTTCGGGAGATTTAGGTGCAAGCGTTAAGGAGACATTAAGGTCACTTCCGTTTTGCTCTCCTTTTTTCCTCTCCATCTTTTTCTTGCCCCCTTTTCCACGAACAACGTCGCGCCTTCTCCTAGGTGCTCCCTCGTAGAGAGACCGTGCGGTGATTTTTGATCGGAGAGCAATCGCGACACGTTTCTAATTTAATTCGACGAGGGTTCACGCATCGCGAACAGGTCGTCGCGAATTTCGCTGGAAAATACCGAGCAAGCGAGGTTTAGCTAATGTCTTTTCTCGCGACAGCTGTTTGGAATTCCGAACGCTTGTAATTATCGTTGCATAGAATAATATTATGCCAACGCTGTGTTTGATTTTCGCAATAAGCGTTATTAGCGGGACCGCCGCCGCGGAATAATATTACCGGTAATTAGCGCTCAGCGTTAGCCAAGAATTCTCGCGCGATCGGACGAATAATATTATCGGAGGAACGAATGAAATACGAACGTGTTTTCGCCGGAAGAGCCTCTTACGCGCCATGTTTCTTTTACACCTCCAAGAGTACCTTACTCGATCGTCCATCGATATTCCTTTAAATTCCACGAGTCTCGTCGTCCAGCAATTTCTAACGAAACAACTTTATACCGCACATACGCGGGATATTTTCGTCCCGGATTTCTCGAGGTCTCTCAAACCTAAGCCAAAGAGAGTTACAGGAAATGAAAATTCGCGAGGTACTCGGTGTCTCTGGTCGAAGATTTCGGTAAACGCGAATCTTCGGAAAATCTGGATTCTCCGACAGCGAACTAATCGATACCGAAGATATTCGCGCGAACGATTTCTCCTCCTCGAGAGCTATTCTCTGCCAAAGGCGGAAGTCTCGCGCTCGATCGAACTCTGGATCCCGGGGGGTGGGCGAGCACCTTCGACGATCGGGCAACTCTACGTAGCCCGAAATAACCGATCCCATCGGGACAGCTAAAAGCGGCTTCGCGAAATCGTTTCGCTGAATAATTCATCGGTTCTTCGTCCGCCAGGGCAGAAGCCGGGTGTCGCAGGGCTGGTGCGTTCGTGGGGGGCGAACGAGTAAATCGTTACGAAAGTGGATCGTCGGTTACGTAGTCGTCGTTCACGATTTACGTCGGTCGACAACGCGTCGCTTCAAAGACGGATGTGGAAGAACGTCGTCTCTTGGGTCGGACACGCAACGGGACCAGCTAGAGGGGGTGACTCGAAAGAGGAGGAACGAAACGGAAGAGAGAGAAAGTAAGGGATGTAAAGGGGCGGAAGACGAAACGGTGGGTGGAAGAGAGTAGGCGAGGTAGAAGAAAATAAGAAGAACGAAAGAAAGGAAATGATCAAGCGACCGTGATGCCAATCTAACGGCTTACTTGGGCAGAATGTCACAGCCCTGCCGCATTAAGGATCCGATGGTGAACCACATGCAGTTGAGCAGCTTGAAGCGATTCTCCAGATGGTCCGGGTTTTTGTTGCACGGATGAGGATTGTACCACTCGTACGGGGTGAATCTAAACTGATCAACTCTAGACAACGTCTGATCCTTTTCAGCTCCGCGCATCTGTCTTCCACGGGATCGTTCGCCATTTACGTATGAAGATTAACCGCGTGTGGACGGTGGGAAAAACAGGCCGCACGGAATGCCACATGTCGGCGTATGTACGCGTCTGTTCCTTTCTTCGTGTCTGACCATCTCGCGTTGCTTTTGTTCGCGTAACCGGGCTCCGTGCTCCATTCGAATCGCCGACCGTGAAATTAGAGTTCGTATCTAGAGTTTAAGAGATACCCGCGAGTCACCGGGAATTCAAATTCCTCCGTGCCGTATAAATTATCGGGAATCGAACGCGTGTCAAAGGTGCCATTTTGCGCGACGAGTGCATCCTCGCTGTAACGCAACCTCTGTTCACGGAGATGAACGCAATCGGGGATGATTTCTTCGAATCGCGATGATCTACGCGGGAAATTTGTCCGGTTCTCAGCGCGACGGAAGCCTAATCGACGGACCGAGTGTATCGGGTTCAGAGATTCGATCCCATCGGATCGTTCGAATGCGAAATTTCACCGGTGCCGGTGGAATATTTTTATCGAGGCTTGGGAAGATGTATTCACTTGCCTGGCGAGTATGAAGAGCAGCACAGAGACGCCCAGATAAGCTGTCGCCATATAAATCCAAACGTCGAGGCTGAGCGGGCTGAGGAACGAGAACAGATTCGGCGGCTGCTTTATAGGCTTACAATACAGTATGCTGATCCCTGTAAATTTCAGATCCTGCATGTAAATCCATCGTGAATTTCGCAACACCCGACGACAATTTACGTGCATCGTTTGTCTTACAGCTAATCGAGCGTCGATAGCGTTTTCCAAAATTTTTCGAATAAAATACGACAGAATTTTTTCGCGTTGTCCTAATCCGCGCAACGATACCGTTCGAAAATTTCTTTCAAAATAAATCCACTCCCGAATGCTCCACAGACGTCTATAACGTTTTCAAAAATCGCAATATCCGACCAATCTTTTCGCACACGGGTTTCACGATTGTTGAATCAATTCTCAGCGATGAACACGGTTCACGGAATCGTAGATCAAACAGATTGCTCACCTAGATTCATGAAGGGCATGGTGAAGTCGACCACCTGTTCCCGATCGTACGTGATGGTCAGATCCGCCACCGCTAGATCCGCCTTCTGATCCAGCAATTCTTTTATCATACCGTCCCACTCTCTCGTCTTGTTGTTGTAAGATCCGTACCGTCCATCCGGCACCAGACGGAACATATAATTGAAACCGAGGATCTTTGATATCTCGTAGATCAAGTCCACGCTGTAGCCCTCGAACTGTGCGTTTCCGATCAGCTGCTCGCTCGAGCCCTTCCTCATGCAATATGGCGCGCTCTGTGTGGAACGAGACGACGTTAAAACAGGCAAAATCTCGATTAAATTACGCCATCATTTTTATTGTAATTTCCCATCTACGCTATAACAAGCTCGATAGGTTGTATCACCAGAGAAACGAGGATCAAACGTGAAAAATATAACGAATGAGGCACCGGAGCGTATATGCATTGGCAGACGCGAGTGACAGCAATGACAGGTATTGCGTACTCGGCGCATTCGACCTAACCTAACCTAACGTTTCGACGTGCAAAAATACCAAGCCCATGTAACATCTTTCGCTGCTTAATTAACGCTTTGAGGCCGTGATCCGCGAGGATGGGCTGAATACGCTCGCGATAGAAAGCGTGTGCTCTCTCGCGTTGACAGGATTTCTTTGGTCGTTCGAGAGGACGATCGTCACGGTACGATGGAACGCGAGGTCGATAGACGCGATAAGCCGAGAGACGATAATCCGCCGAGGCGATTGCACGCGAGCTGGACCTCGCGAGTTTAGAATTCCGCGTGTCGCACGCGAAGCGACGCGTTCGCGGGGAACGTGATGACTAAATGCCGGCACTGACGACGAATTTCGGAGAAGGTTCGCGGAAATTGATGTGGCAGGCGTGCGTGGACCGGGAAAAATTTCCCCGATAGCATGCAACCTGGAACAGGGAGCGAAAATTTCATCGTGACCGAAGTTCATAACAACCTCGACGAAGTTCATCCGTCAAACCTGCGCACCGACCGTGACATACTTCCTGTTTCCCTAGATTCCTTCTTCTTCATCCCTTTTTCGAGATAAAAGGACACGTATAATCGTGGAGGATGGGTTACTCGAAAGAAAAATTGCTTTGGCCGAAAGTTTAAATCGAGATTTATAATTAAAGCACGAGGGTTTCTGAGATCCTTTCTACATCCGAAAACTATTTAAAGAAATTATATCGTTCGTTGTTCCTGTAGACAATTATATATTATAGTTATTTATATATGTACGCGTGAAGTACGAGCTTCCATGGGTGGAATGGGGAGAGTGATGTCGATACTTGGGATATTGCACAGTTAGTCAATTAACCATAAGTAGCGAGTTATACAAAGCGTGTAGAGAGAAAGTATTATTAACCCTTTGCACTCGAGAGGTGACCCTCAGTCACCATTTCATAAAATTTGAAAAATCGATATTAATTAATATATCAAATTTAATGCAATGTAACAGTGTGCGAGGTATCGAAATCAAATAATTCTACAATTTTATTATTATATTATTCTTCATTTACTGTTCAAAAAAGTATCGTCAGTCTTTTAGTAGAGAATTTTTGAATTTCTAGATTTCTCTAGCCAAAAAATCGTCGAGTGCAAAGGGTTAATAGTATGTTAATTGTAGAATAAGAAGCTAATTAATCACAATAATTCTTACAATTTTCGTACTGCTTTTACGCGTATTATATTATCCCTTATTAAATTTTCTGTCAATACAATTTAAATGTATTCAGACCAACAGAAATTAAAGAGAACGTAGACTTGGATATCGTCATTTACTAAAAAGCGTCCTAGTTTTATATACAATTTTTATCTAAATCGAAAGCGTATCATTGTACTATCCACAAATTTAAAAAAGGGACAGGTAATTATTTAGAAGAGAAGGGGGTCTCACAGACTTTGACTATTTTTGAACGTGTTATAGGAATCAATATTTTGAACAACCTTTTCCTACGTATATAACCATCGCTCTGCTTTAATGTCCGAAATTTTTGCAAAAATCTATTGCTACTACTAGAATGGATATTGCCTATAGCTACATGTCTGTGGCAGCATGTGTGTAGCGTTGAGCCGCCGATTGTTTATGGCTTCTACAAACACATCGAGGTGGCCGGCAATGAACGCGTATAACGGGTGTACATAGAAACTCAATTTAAGTAACTTTGTGGTGAAATATTGGGCCCATTATGGAAATCGGTGAGAACTCCTCCATTTTCTAAATAATTACTTTTTTCTCTCCGCTGTGGATAATCCCACCTCTTTCCAAAATAATTAGCAAGAAAAGAAAATAGGGGCCTAATAACACGAGATATTAAAAAGAAAAAAAAGAAAGGAAAATCGCGACGCACTGTTAGGCCCATAATCGAAGTCAGTGAGACTCCCTGCATCTTCTAAATAATTACCGTTCTTTTTCTTAGAGCTGTGGATAATCCCACCCCTTTCCAAAATAATTACCAAGAAAAGAAAATAGAGACCTAACAACCTGAGATATTAAAAAAAGAAAAAGAAAAGGAAAATCGCGACACACTGTAGGGCCCATTATCGAAGACGGCAAGGCACCCCTTCTTTTTGAATAAAATACCCTCTTTTCCCTTAGAGCTGTGGATACTCCCACCCCTTTCAAAAATAATTACCAAGAAAAGAAAATAGAGACCTAACAGAATGAGATATAAAAAAAAGAAGAAGAAAAGGAGAATCGCGACGCACTGTAAAACCAATAATCGAAGTCGGTAAGGCACCCTCCCTTTCTGAATAAAATACCCCACTTTCCAAACTAATTACCACAGAAAAGAAAATATAGACTTAACAACGCGAGATATAAAAGAAAAAGGGAAAATTCTGTCAAGCACTCG